TGTTGTTGTGGTTGTTGTGGTTGTTGTTGTGGTGGTTGTTGTTGTGGTTGTTGTTGTGGTTATTATTGTTGTGGTGGTTGTTGTGGTTGTTGTGGTGGTGGTTGTTGTGGTGGTTGTTGGTGGTTGTTGTGGTTGTTGTGGTTGTTGTTGTGGTTGTTGTGGTTGTTGTTGTGGTTATTGTTGTTGTGGTGGTTGTTGTGGTTGTTGTGGTGGTGGTTGTTGTGGTGGTTGTTGGTGGTTGTTGTGGTTGTTGTGGTTGTTGTTGTGGTTGTTGTTGTGGTTGTTTTGTTGTGGTGGTTGTTGTGGTTGTTGTTGTGGTTGTTGTTGTGCTTGTTGTGGTTGTTGTGGTTGTTGTTGTGGTTGTGGTTGTTGTTGTGGTGGTGGTTGTTGTGGTTGTTGTTGTGGTGGTTGTGGTTGTTGTATTTACTAGTGAAACCTCACGGTACTAAGAGTGTAAATGTTGTGGCTTGGCTCTCAAACATACCGGTGTAGTGTACTAGTACACTACACTATACACTACTACACTGTACACTACTACACTACACTATACACTACTCCACTACACTATACACTACACAGTGCTGATGACAGTGCTGAGTCTATGGGTGGCAGTGCTGAGTCTGTGGGTGACAGTGCTGAGTCTATGGGTGGCAGTGCTGAGTCTATGGGTGGCAGTGCTGAGTCTATGACAGTGCTGAGTCTATGACAGTGCCGAGTCTATGGGTGACAGTGCTGAGTCTATGGGTGGCAGTGCTGAGTCTATGGGTGACAGTGCTGAGTCTATGGGTGACAGTGCTGAGTCTATGACAGTGCTGAGTCTATGACAGTGCTGAGTCTATGGGTGACAGTGCTGAGTCTATGGGTGACAGTGCTGAGTCTATGGGTGGCAGTGCTGAGTCTATGGGTGACAGTGCTGAGTCTATGGGTGACAGTGCTGAGTCTATGACAGTGCTGAGTCTATGGGTGACAGTGCTGAGTCTATGACAGTGCTGAGTCTATGGGTGGCAGTGCTGAGTCTATGGGTGGAAGTGCTGAGTCTATGACAGTGCTGAGTCTATGACAGTGCTGAGTCTATGACAGTGCTGAGTCTATGGGTGGCAGTGCTGAGTCTATGACAGTGCTGAGTCTATGACAGTGCTGAGTCTATGGGTGACAGTGCTGAGTCTATAGGTGGCAGTGCTGAGTCTATGACAGTGCTGAGTCTATGGGTGGCAGTGCTGAGTCTATGACAGTGCTGAGTCTATGGGTGACAGTGCTGAGTCTATGGGTGACAGTGCTGAGTCTATGACAGTGCTGAGTCTATGACAGTGCTGAGTCTATGACAGTGCTGAGTCTATGACAGTGCTGAGTCTATGACAGTGCTGAGTCTATGACAGTGCTGAGTCTATGGGTGGCGGTGCTGAGTGGGTGCGGTGCCAGGCTAGGTGCACCACGCAGGGGTAGTGATTCACAGTGGATTTGCTGGTAAACCGAACGCCTCGATTGAGATTTTATTTGGTCGAAGTTGATCGACGCTGCGCGACTACTTAACGCGTTAATACGAAACGGAAAGGGGGAGGGGCTATAGGGAAGGGGGCGGGGTTAGGGGGTGGGGGCGGGGTGATAAGGAAGGGGGCGGGGTGATAAGGAAGGGGGCGGGGTTAGGGGGTGGGGGCGGGGTGATAGGGAAGGGGCTAAGTTAGGGGGTGGGGTTAAGATGATTGGGGCGGGGCTAAGTTAGGGGCGGGGTTACAGAGGGGTGGGGCTACGGGGCGGGATTAGAGGGGCGGAGGGTGAGGGGCGGGGTTAGAGGGAGGGGGAGGTGGGTGGGGTGAGTGGGGTGAGTGGGTTGAGTGGGTGGGTTGAGTGGGTGGGTTGAGTGGGTGGGTTGAGTGGGTGGGTTGAGTGGGTGGGTTGAGTGGGTGGGGTGAGTGGGTGGGGTGAGTGGGTGGGGTGAGTGAATGGGGTGGGTGAGTGGGGTGAGTGGGGTGGGTAGGTGGGGTGAGTGGGGTGGGTAGGTGGGGTGAGTGGGGTGAGTGGGGTGGGTGAGTGGGGTGAGTGGGGTGAGTGGGTGGGGTGAGTGAATGGGGTGAGTGGGGTGAGTGAATGGGGTGGGTGAGTGGGGTGAGTGGGGTGGGTAGGTGGGGTGAGTGGGGTGAGTGGGGTGGGTGAGTGGGGTGAGTGGGGTGAGTGGGTGGGGTGAGTGAATGGGGTGAGTGGGTGGGGTGAGTGGGTGGGGTGAGTGGGGTGGGGTGAGTGGGGTGAGTGAGTGGGGTGAGTGGGTGGGTGGGGTGAGTGGGTGGGTGGGGTGAGTGGGTGGGGTGAGTGAATGGGGTGAGTGGGTGGGGTGAGTGGGGTGGGTGAGTGGGGTGAGTGAGTGGGGTGAGTGAGTGGGTGAGTGGGTGGGGTGAGTGGGTGGGGTGAGTGAGTGGGGTGAGTGGGGTGAGTGAATGGGGTGAGTGGGGTGAGTGAATGGGGTGAGTGGGGTGGGTGAGTGGGGTGAGTGGGGTGGGTGAGTGGGGTGAGTGGGGTGGGTGAGTGGGGTGAGTGGGGTGGGTGAGTGGGGTGAGTGGGGTGGGTGGGGTGAGTGAATGGGGTAGGTGAGTGGGTGGGGTGGGTGAGTGGGGTGAGTGAGGTGGGTGAGTGGGGTGAGTGAGTGGGGTAGGTGAGTGGGTGAGTGGGTGGGGTGGGTGAGTGGGGTGAGTGGGTGGGTGAGTGGGGTGAGTGGGGTGAGTGAGTGGGGTGAGTGGGGTGGGTGAGTGGGGTGAGTGGGGTGAGTGGGGTGGGTGAGTGGGGTGAGTGGGGTGGGTGAGTGAATGGGGTAGGTGAGTGGGGTGAGTGGGGTGAGTGGGGTGGGTGAGTGGGGTGGGTAGGTGGGGTGAGTGGGTGGGGTGGGGTGAGTGGGGTGAGTGAGTGGGGTGGGTGGGTGGGGTGAGTGGGGTGAGTGAGTGGGGTGGGTGGGTGGGGTGAGTGGGGTGAGTGAGTGGGGTGGGTGGGTGGGGTGAGTGGGGTGGGTGGGTGAGTGGGGTGAGTGGGTGGGGTGGTGTGTGAGTGGGGTGAGTGGGTGGGGTGAGTGGGGTGAGTGAGTGGGGTGGGTGAGTGGGTGGGGTGAGTGGGGTGAGTGGGTGGGGTGGGTGGGGTGAGTGGGGTAGGTGGGGTGGGTGGGGTGAGTGGGGTGAGTGAGTGGGGTGGGTGAGTGGGTGGGGTGAGTGGGGTGAGTGGGGTGAGTGGGTGGGGTGGGTGGGGTGAGTGGGGTGAGTGAGCGGGGTGAGTGGGGTGAGTGGGGTGAGTGGCTGGGGTGAGTGGGGTGAGTGAGCGGGGTGAGTGGGGTGAGTGGGGTGAGTGAGTGGGGTGAGTGGGGTGGGTGGGTGGGGGCCCCTCCAGGGTGGGCAATTTAAAAAAACTAAAAAATCTAAAACGAACGCGACGAGAATTAAACCTTAAACCTGCTCCTAGTGAGGGAGAGAGATGGGGAGAGAGAGATGGGGGAGAGATGGGGAGAGAGAGATGGGGGAGAGAGATGGGGGAGAGAGATGGGGAGAGAGAGATGGGGAGAGAGATGGGGAGAGAGAGATGGGGAGAGAGATGGGGAGAGAGAGATGGGGAGAGGGAGAGAGAGAGATGGGGAGAGAGAGAGATGGGGAGAGAGAGAGATGGGGAGAGAGATGGGGAGAGAGATGGGGGAGAGAGATGGGGGAGAGAGATGGGGGAGAGAGATGGGGAGAGAGATGGGGAGAGAGAGATGGGGAGAGAGATGGGGGAGAGAGATGGGGAGAGAGATGAGACAGAGATGGGGAGAGAGAGAGATGGGGAGAGAGAGAGATGGGGAGAGAGATGGGGGAGAGAGATGGGGGAGAGAGATGGGGGAGAGAGATGGGGAGAGAGAGAGATGGGGAGAGAGAGAGATGGGGAGAGAGAGAGATGGGGAGAGAGAGAGATTGGGAGAGAGAGATGGGGAGAGAGAGATGGGGGAGAGAGATGGGGAGAGAGAGATGGGGAGAGAGAGATGGGGAGAGAGATGGGGAGAGAGAGAGAGATGGGGAGAGAGAGAGAGATGGGGAGAGAGAGAGAGATGGGGAGAGAGAGAGAGATGGGGAGAGAGAGAGAGATGGGGAGAGAGAGAGAGATGGGGAGAGAGAGAGAGATGGGGAGAGAGAGAGATGGGGAGAGAGAGAGAGATGGGGAGAGAGAGAGAGATGGGGAGAGAGAGAGATGGGGAGAGAGAGATGGGGAGAGAGAGAGAGATGGGGAGAGAGAGAGATGGGGAGAGAGAGAGATGGGGAGAGAGAGATGGGGAGAGAGATGGGGGAGAGAGATGGGGAGAGAGAGAGATGAGAGAGATGAGGGAGAGAGATGAGGGAGAGAGATGAGGGAGAGAGATGAGGGAGAGAGATGAGAGAGATGAGAGAGAGATGGGGGAGAGAAAGGGGCGGAGATGGGGGAGAGAGATGAGAGAGAGAGATGGGGGAGAGAGAGAGATGGGGGAGAGAGATGAGAGATGGGGGAGAGACAGAGATGGGGGGGAGAGAGAGAGATGGGGGAGAGAGATGGGAGAGAGATGGGGGAGAGAGATGAGAGATGGGGGAGAGACAGAGATGGGGGAGAGAGATGGGAGAGAGACAGAGATGGGGGAGAGAGATGAGAGATGGGGGAGAGACAGAGATGGGGAGAGACAGAGATGGGGAGAGACAGAGATGGGGGAGAGAGAGATGGGGGAGAGACAGAGATGGGGGAGAGAGATGGGAGAGAGACAGAGATGGGGGAGAGAGATGAGAGATGGGGGAGAGACAGAGATGGGGAGAGACAGAGATGGGGAGAGACAGAGATGGGGGAGAAAGAGATGGGGGAGAGAGAGAGAGATGGGGGAGAGAGAGAGATGGGGGAGAGAGATGGATGGGGGAGAGAGATGGGAGAGAGAGAGATGAGAGAGAGATGGGGGAGAGAGAGAGATGAGGGAGAGAGATGGGGAGAGAGATGAGAGATGGGGAGAGAGAGAGATGGGGAGAGAGAGAGGGGAGAGAGATGGAGAGAGAGATGGGAGAGAGAGAGATGAGAGAGAGAGATGGGGGAGAGAGATGAGACAGAGATGAGAGAGATGAGACAGAGATGAGAGAGAGATGGGGGAGAGAGAGATGGGGGAGAGATGGGGGAGAGAGATGCGGAGAGAGAGATGGGGGAGAGAGATGAGAGAGAGATGGAGAGATGAGAGAGAGATGGGGGAGAGAGATAAGAGAGAGATGAGAGAGAGATGGGGGAGATGAGAGAGAGATGGGAGAGAGATGAGAGAGAATGGAGAGATGGGGGAGAGATGAGAGAGAGATGGGGGAGAGATGAGAGAGAGAGAGATGAGAGAGAGAATGGAGAGAGAGAGAATGGAGAGATGGGAGAGAGATGAGAGAGAGAATGGAGAGAGATGGGGAGAGAGAGATGGGGGAGAGATGAGAGAGAGATGGGAGAGAGATGGGGGAGAGATGAGAGAGATGAGACAGAGATGAGAGAGAGATGGGGGAGAGAGATGAGACAGAGATGAGAGAGAGATAGGGGAGAGATGAGAGAGATGGGTGATATGGTGACATCACTTCCCGTACCGCGAGCGACCCGTCGCATCACTTCCTGTGCCGTACAGCCGCTCCTATGACATCACTTCCCGTGCCGAGCGATGTTGCGACATCAACTCCCGTGTCCTCCAAACTGTGACATCACTTCCCGTACCGTATAAAGTTTTAACATCACTTCCCGTACCGCGAGCGACCCGTCGCATCACTTCCTGTACCATGCAGCCCCCGCGATGACATCACTTCCTGTAACAAGCGACGTTCGTGACATCACTTCCCGTACCGCGAGCCACCCATCGCATCACTTCCTGTACCATGCAGACCCCACTATGACATCACTTCCTGTAACAGGCGACGTTCGTGACATCACTTCCAGTACCGCGAGCGACCCATCGCATCACTTCCTGTACCATGCAGACCCCACTATGACATCACTTCCTGTAACAGGCGACGTTCGTGACATCACTTCCCGTGCCGCGAGCGACCCGTCGCATCACTTCCTGTACCATGCAGCCCCCGCGATGACATCACTTCCTGTAACGGGCGACGTTTGTGACATCACTTCCTGTAACAGGCGACGTTCGTGACATCGTACACAGCAGCAGGCATCGTCCCGGATCGAACCCACGACCTCCTGCGGACCGGGCGAGGTAGTCAACATCTCCCCGATGATGTCACTTCCTGTAACGCGGGCTTGATTTTTCCTGCGGGCATTGTGATGTCACTACCCCTCCGTAGCAATGACGTCACTTCCTGTGGGCGGGGCAAGGGGTGGCCTCACCCCCCGCCCCTCCCTCCCGAAGCCCGGCCAATCCAAGCGCAGCTTACAACGTGGGGGGAGGGGCGGTGGTGGCCAGGAACCTCCTCCACCACCTCCTCCATCTACAACTCCACCACCTCCTCCATCTACACCTCCACCATCTACAACTCCACCTCCTCCACCATCTACACCTCCACCATCTACAACTCCACCTCCTCCACCATCTACAACTCCACCTCCTCCACCACCTCCACCATCTACACCTCCACCATCTACAACTCCACCATCTACAACTCCACCGCCTCCTCCATCTACAACTCCACCTCCTACACCATCTACAACTCCACCTCCTACACCACCTCCACCATCTACACCTCCACCATCTACAACTCCACCTCCTACACCACCTCCACCTCCACCATCTACACCTCCACCATCTACACCTCCACCATCTACAACTCCACCTCCTCCACCACCTCCACCATCTACAACTCCACCTCCTACACCATCTACAACTCCACCTCCTACACCACCACCTCCTCCACCATCTACAACTCCACCATCTACAACTCCACCTTCTACACCACCATCATCTACACCTCCACCATCTACAACACCTCCACCATCTACAACACCTCCACCATCTACACCTCCACCATCTACAACACCATCTACACCTCCACCATCTACAACTCCACCATCTACACCTCCATCTACAACTCCACCATCTACAACACCTCCATCTACACCTCCACCATCTACAACACCTCCATCTACACCTCCACCATCTACAACTCCACCTCCTACACCTCCTACACCTCCACCATCTACAACTCCACCATCACCTTTACCTCCTCCATCTCCACCTCCATCTCCTCCGCCTCCTCCACCTCCCCCTACACCTCCACCACCTCCACCACCACCTCCACCTCGTCCACCTCCATCACCTCCATCACCTCCTCTTCTTCCACCACCCGCTGCTGCACCTCCTCAAGTTCAGGATGTGCGTATGGGGAGCTGTGCTGTAGTGGTTTGTGTGTGTGTGTACGTGTGTATGTGTGTGTGTGTACGTGTGTGTGTACGTGTGTGTGAGTGTGTACGTGTGTGTGAGTGTGTGTGTGTACGTGTGTGTGAGTGTGTACGTGTGTGTGTGTACGTGGGTGTGTGTGTGTGAGTGTGTACGTGTGTGTACGTGTGTATGTGTACGTGTGTGTGTGTGTACGTGTGTGTGAGTGTGTACGTGTGTGTGAGTGTGTACGTGTGTGTGAGTGTGTGTACGTGTGTGTGTACGTGTGTGTGAGTGTGTACGTGTGTGTGTACGTGTGTGTGTGTACGTGGGTGTGTACGTGTGTGTGTGTACGTGTGTGTGTGTACGTGGGTGTTGTACGTGTGTGTGTGTACGTGTGTGTGTGTACGTGAGTGCTGAGTGAGTGGTGAATGAGTGGTGAGTGAGTGGTCTAAGTGGTGAGTGAGTGGTCTAAGTGGTGAGTGAGTGGTGAGTGAGTGGTCTAAGTGGTGAGTGAGTGGTGAGTGAGTGGTCTAAGTGGTGAGTGAGTGGTCTAAGTGGTGAATGAGTGGTGAGTGAGTGGTCTAAGTGGTGAGTGAGTGGTCTACGTGGTGAGTGAGTGGTGAGTGAGTGGTCTAAGTGGTGAGTGAGTGGTCTAAGTGGTGAATGAGTGGTGAGTGAGTGGTCTAAGTGGTGAGTGAGTGGTCTAAGTGGTGAGTGAGTGGTGAGTGAGTGGTCTAAGTGGTGAGTGAGTGGTGAGTGAGTGGTGAGTGAGTGGTGAGTGAGTGAGTGGTGAGTAAGTGAGTGGTGAGTGAGTGGTGAGTAAGTGAGTGGTGAGTGAGTGGTGAGTGGTCTAAGTGGTGAGTGAGTGGTGAGTGAGTGGTCTAAGTGGTGAGTGAGTGGTGAGTGAGTGGTGAGTGGTCTAAGTGGTGAGTGGTCTAAGTGGTGAGTGAGTGGTGAGTGGTGAGTGAGTGGTGAGTGGTCTAAGTGGTGAGTGAGTGGTGAGTGAGTGGTGAGTGAGTGGTGTGTGGTCTAAGTGGTGAGTGAGTGGTGAGTGAGTGGTGAGTGAGTGGTGAGTGGTCTAAGTGGTGAGTGAGTGGTGAGTGAGTGGTGAGTGAGTGAGTGGTGTGTGGTCTAAGTGGTGAGTGAGTGGTGAGTGAGTGGTGAGTGGTCTAAGTGGTGAGTGAGTGGTGAGTGAGTGGTGAGTAAGTGGTGAGTGGTCTAAGTGGTGAGTGAGTGGTGAGTGAGTGGTCTAAGTGGTGAGTGAGTGGTGAGTGAGTGGTGAGTGGTCTAAGTGGTGAGTGGTCTAAGTGGTGAGTGAGTGGTGAGTGAGTGGTGAGTGAGTGAGTGGTGAGTGAGTGAGTGGTGAGTGAGTGAGTGAGTGGTGAGTGAGTGGTGAGTGAGTGAGTGAGTGGTGAGTGAGTGGTGAGTGGTCTAAGTGGTGAGTGAGTGGTGAGTGAGTGAGTGAGTGGTGAGTGAGTGGTGTGTGGTCTAAGTGGTGAGTGAGTGGTGAGTGAGTGGTGAGTGAGTGGTGAGTGGTCTAAGTGGTGAGTGAGTGGTGAGTGAGTGGTGATTGAGTGGTGAGTGAGTGAGTGAGTGGTGAGTGAGTGGTGAGTGAGTGGTGAGTGGTCCAAGTGGTGAGTGAGTGGTGAGTGAGTGGTGAGTGGTCTAAGTGGTGAGTGAGTGGTGAGTGAGTGAGTGAGTGGTGAGTGAGTGGTGAGTGAGTGGTGAGTGGTCTAAGTGGTGTAGTGGTCGAAGCTACCGAGATATTCCAGTGCAGCTCGGTAGCAAAACTGGTACTGATCCTGGTGGGTGGTGAGTGAGTGGGTGAGTGAGTGAGTGGGTGAGTGAGTGAGTGGGTGAGTGAGTGGGTGGGTGGGTGGGTGAGTGGGTGGGTGAGTGGGTGGGTGGGTGGGTGAGTGGGTGGGTGGGTGGGTGAGTGAGTGGGTGGGTGGGTGAGTGGGTGGGTGGGTGAGTGGGTGGGTGAGTGGGTGGGTGGGTGAGTGGGTGGGTGGGTGGGTGAGTGGGTGGGTGGGTGGGTGAGTGGGTGGGTGGGTGGGTGAGTGGGTGGGTGGGTGGGTGGGTGAGTGGGTGGGTGGGTGGGTGAGTGGGTGGGTGGGTGAGTGGGTGGGTGGGTGAGTGAGTGGGTGGGTGGGTGAGTGGGTGGGTGGGTGAGTGGGTGGGTGGGTGGGTGAGTGGGTGGGTGGGTGTGTGGGTGGGTGGGTGGGTGAGTGGGTGGGTGAGTGGGTGGGTGGGTGGGTGAGTGGGTGGGTGGGTGGGTGAGTGAGTGAGTGGGTGGGTGAGTGAGTGAGTGGGTGGGTGGGTGAGTGAGTGGGTGAGTGAGTAGGTGAGTGAGTGAGTGAGTAGGTGAGTGAGTGAGTAGGTGAGTGGGTGAGTGAGTGAGTGAGTAGGTGAGTGGGTGAGTGAGTGGGTGAGTGAGTGAGTGGGTGAGTGAGTGGGTGGGTGGGTGAGTGAGTGGGTGGGTGGGTGGGTGAGTGGGTGGGTGGGTGAGTGGGTGGGTGGGTGGGTGGGTGAGTGGGTGGGTGAGTGGGTGGGTGGGTGGGTGAGTGGGTGGGTGGGTGGGTGAGTGAGTGGGTGGGTGGGTGAGTGGGTGGGTGGGTGAGTGGGTGAGTGGGTGGGTGGGTGGGTGAGTGAGTGGGTGGGTGAGTGGGTGGGTGGGTGAGTGGGTGGGTGGGTGAGTGGGTGGGTGGGTGAGTGGGTGGGTGGGTGAGTGGGTGGGTGAGTGGGTGGGTGGGTGAGTGGGTGGGTGGGTGGGTGAGTGGGTGAGTGGGTGGGTGGGTGGGTGAGTGGGTGGGTGGGTGAGTGGGTGGGTGGGTGGGTGAGTGGGTGGGTGGGTGAGTGAGTGGGTGGGTGGGTGAGTGAGTGGGTGGGTGGGTGAGTGAGTGGGTGAGTGAGTAGGTGAGTGAGTGAGTGAGTAGGTGAGTGAGTGAGTAGGTGAGTGGGTGAGTGAGTGAGTGAGTAGGTGAGTGGGTGAGTGAGTGGGTGAGTGAGTGAGTGAGTGGGTGAGTGAGTGGGTGGGTGGGTAGGTAGGTGAGTGAGTGGATGGGTGGGGGGGTGAGTGGGTGAGTGAGTGGGTGGGTGGGTGAGTGAGTGAGTGGGTGGGTGAGTGAGTGGGTGGGTGGGTGAGTGGGTGAGTGAGTGGGTGGGTGGGTGAGTGAGTGGATGGGTGGGGGGGTGAGTGGGTGAGTGAGTGGGTGAGTGAGTGGGTGAGTGAGTAGGTGAGTGAGTGAGTAGGTGAGTGGGTGAGTGGGTGAGTGAGTGGGTGAGTGAACACACAAACACACACGTGATTAATAAAGCTAAAACAACACCCAAGTAGCGTCTCCCCCGTGTCTCCCCCCCGTGTCTCTCCCCCCCCCCCCCGTGTCTCCCCCGTGTCTCCCCCGTGTCTCCCCCCGTGTCTCTCCCCAGTGTCTCCCCGTGTCTCCCCCTGTGTCTCCCCGTGTCTCCCCCCGTGTCTCCCCGTGTCTCCCCGTGTCTCCCCGTGTCTCTCCCCGTGTCTCCCCGTGTCTCCCCGTGTCTCCCCCCGTGTCTCCCCGTGTCTCCCCCGTGTCTCCCCCGTGTCTCCCCGTGTCTCCCCGTGTCTCCCCGTGTCTCCCCGTGTCTCCCCCCGTGTCTCCCCGTGTCTCCCCCCGTGTCTCCCCGTGTCTCCCCCGTGTCTCCCCGTGTCTCCCCCGTGTCTCCCCCGTGTCTCCCCGTGTCCCCCCGTGTCTCACCTCGTGTCTCCCCCGTGTCTCCCCCGTGTCTCCCCCCGTGTCTCCCCCCGTGTCTCTCCCCCGTGTCTCCCCGTGTCTCCCCCCGTGTCTCCCCCGTGTCTCCCCGTGTCTCCCCCGTGTCTCCCCCGTGTCTCCCCGTGTCTCCCCCGTGTCTCACCTCTGTCTGCACCATGGCTGGTCTCTGGGTGCGGAGCATTTTCACCGTCTGGAAGATGTCCACCACTCCCTCATAGCGCATCCGCTCCAACACGATACTCAAGGTAATGAACACTCCGGTACGACCAACACCAGCACTGGCAGGGGTGGGGAGAAGGGTGAGTGGGTGGGTGGGTGGGGGAGTTGGTGGGTGGGTGGGTGAGTGGATGGGTGGGTGAGTGGGTGAGTGAGTGAGTGGGTGAGTGGGTGAGTGGGTGGGTGGGTGAGTGGGTGGGTGGGTGAATTGGTGGGTGCGTGAGTGGGTGAGTGGGTGGGTGGGTGAGTGGGTGAGTTGGTGAGTTGGTGGGTGAGTTGGTGGGTAGGTGGATGAGTTAGTGAGTGTATGGGTGGGTGAGTTGGTGGGTGGGTGATTTGGTGGGTGGGTGAGATGGTGGGTGGGTGGGTAGGTGGATGAGTTAGTGAGTGTGTGAGTGTGTGGGTGGGTGGGTGAGTTGGTGGGTGGGTGGGTGAGTTGGTGGGTGGGTGGGTGAGTGGGTGAGTGGGTGAATTGGTGGGTGGGTGAATTGGTGGGTGGGTGAGTGGGTGGGTGGGTGAGTGGGTGAGTTGGTGGGTGAGTTGGTGGGTGAGTTGGTGGGTAGGTGGATGAGTTAGTGAGTGTATGGGTGGGTGAGTTGGTGGGTGGGTGAGATGGTGGGTGGGTAGGTGGATGAGTTAGTGTGTGGGTGGGTGAGTTGGTGGGTGGGTGGGTGAGTTGGTGGGTGGGTGAGTGGGTGAGTGAGTGGGTGGGTGGGTGAGTTGGTGGGTGGGTGGGTTGGTGGGTGAGTTGGTGGGTGGGTGGGTTGATGGGTGGGTGAGTGGGTGGGTGGGTGAGTTGGTGGGTGAGTTGGTGGGTGGGTGGATGAGTTAGTGAGTGTGTGGGTGGGTGAGTTGGTGGGTGGGTGGGTGAGTTGGTGGGTGGGTGGGTGAGTGAGTGGGTGAGTTGGTGGGTGGGTGGATGAGTTAGTGGGTGTGTGAGTGTGTGGGTGGGTGAGTTGGTGGGTGGGTGGGTGAGTTGGTGGGTGGGTGGGTGAGTGGGTGAGTGGGTGGGTGGGTGAGTGGGTGGGTGGGTGAATTGGTGGGTGGGTGAGTGGGTGAGTGGGTGGGTGGGTGAGTTGGTGAGTTGGTGGGTGAGTTGGTGGGTAGGTGGATGAGTTAGTGAGTGTATGGGTGGGTGAGTTGGTGGGTGGGTGAGTTGGTGGGTGGGTGAGATGGTGGGTGGGTGGGTAGGTGGATGAGTTAGTGAGTGTGTGAGTGTGTGGGTGGGTGGGTGAGTTGGTGGGTGGGTGAGTTGGTGGGTGGGTGGGTGAGTGGGTGAGTGGGTGAGTTGGTGGGTGGGATGAATTGGTGGGTGGGTGGGTGAGTGGGTGGGTGGGTGGGTGAGTGGGTGGGTGGGTGGGTGGGTGAGTGAGTGGGTGAGTTGGTGGGTGAGTTGGTGGGTGAGTTGGTGGGTGAGTTGGTGGGTGAGTTGGTGGGTAGGTGGATGAGTTAGTGAGTGTATGGGTGGGTGAGTTGGTGGGTGGGTGAGATGGTGGGTGGGTAGGTGGATGAGTTAGTGTGTGAGTGTGTGGGTGGGTGAGTTGGTGGGTGGGTGGGTGAGTTGGTGGGTGGGTGAGTGGGTGAGTGGGTGAGTGAGTGGGTGGGTGGGTGAGTTGGTGCGTGGGTGGGTTGGTGGGTGAGTTGGTGGGTGGGTGGGTTGATGGGTGGGTGTGTGGGTGGGTGGGTGAGTTGGTGGGTGAGTTGGTGGGTGGGTGGATGAGTTAGTGAGTGTGTGGGTGGGTGAGTTGGTGGGTGGGTGGGTGAGTTAGTGGGTGGGTGGGTGAGTGGGTGAGTGAGTGGGTGAGTTGGTGGGTGGGTGGATGAGTTAGTGGGTGTGTGAGTGTGTGGGTGGGTGAGTTGGTGGGTGGGTGGGTGAGTTGGTGGGTGGGTGGGTGAGTGGGTGAGTGAGTGGGTAAGTTGGTGGGTGAGTTGGTGAGTGGGTGGATGAGTTAGTGAGTGTGTGAGTGTGTGGGTGGGTGAGTTGGTGGGTGGGTGGGTGGGTGAGTTGGTGGGTGGGTGAGTGGGTGAGTGAGTGGGTGAGTTGGTGGGTGAGTTGGTGGGTGGGTGGATGAGTTAGTGAGTGTGTGGGTGGGTGAGTTGGTGGGTGGGTGAGTGGGTGAGTGAGTGGGTGAGTTGGTGGGTGAGTTGGTGGGTGGGTGGATGAGTTAGTGAGTGTGTGAGTGTGGGTGGGTGAGTTGGTGGGTGGGTGGGTGAGTTGGTGGGTGGGTGGGTGAGTGGGTGAGTGAGTGGGTGAGTGTGTAGGTGAGTAGGTGAGTGTGTAGGTGAGTAGGTGAGTGTGTAGGTGAGTAGGTGAGTGTGTAGGTGAGTGTGTAGGTGAGTAGGTGAGTGTGTAGGTGAGTGTGTAGGTGAGTCCGTGAGTGTGTAGGTGAGTGTGTAGGTGAGTGTGTAGGTGAGTAGGTGAGTGTGTAGGTGAGTGTGTAGGTGAGTAGGTGAGTGTGTAGGTGAGTGTGTAGGTGAGTAGGTGAGTGTGTAGGTGAGTAGGTGAGTGTGTAGGTGAGTAGGTGGGTGAGTAGGTGAGTAGGTGAGTGTGTAGGTGAGTAGGTGAGTGTGTAGGTGAGTAGGTGAGTGTGTAGGTGAGTGAGTAGGTGAGTAGGTGAGTGTGTAGGTGAGTAGGTGAGTGTGTAGGTGAGTGAGTAGGTGAGTGAGTAGGTGAGTGTGTAGGTGAGTGTGTAGGTGTGTAGGTGAGTGAGTAGGTGAGTGTGTAGGTGAGTGTGTAGGTGAGTAGGTGAGTGTGTAGGTGTGTAGGTGAGTGTGTAGGTGAGTGAGTAGGTGAGTGTGTAGGTGAGTGTGTAGGTGAGTGTGTAGGTGAGTGTGTAGGTGAGTGTGTAGGTGAGTGTGTAGGTGAGTGAGTAGGTGAGTGTGTAGGTGAGTGAGTAGGTGAGTGTGTAGGTGAGTGAGTAGGTGAGTGTGTAGGTGAGTGTGTAGGTGAGTGTGTAGGTGAGTGAGTAGGTGAGTGTGTAGGTGAGTGAGTCGGTGAGTGTGTAGGTGAGTGTGTAGGTGAGTAGGTGAGTGAGTAGGTGAGTGAGTAGGTGAGTGAGTAGGTGAGTAGGTGAGTGTGTAGGTGAGTGTGTAGGTGAGTGTGTAGGTGAGTCGGTGAGTGTGTAGGTGAGTGAGTAGGTGAGTAGGTGAGTGAGTCGGTGAGTGTGTAGGTGAGTAGGTGAGTAGGTGAGTGAGTCGGTGAGTGTGTAGGTGAGTAGGTGAGTGAGTCGGTGAGTGTGTAGGTGAGTAGGTGAGTGAGTAGGTGAGTGTGTAGGTGAGTGTGTAGGTGAGTGTGTAGGTGAGTAGGTGAGTGTGTAGGTGAGTAGGTGAGTGAGTAGGTGAGTCGGTGAGTGTGTAGGTGAGTGTGTAGGTGAGTAGGTGAGTGAGTAGGTGAGTCGGTGAGTGTGTAGGTGAGTGTGTAGGTGAGTAGGTGAGTGAGTAGGTGAGTGAGTAGGTGAGTGTGTAGGTGAGTGAGTAGGTGAGTAGGTGAGTGAGTAGGTGAGTAGGTGAGTGAGTAGGTGAGTAGGTGAGTGTGTAGGTGAGTAGGTGAGTGAGTCGGTGAGTAGGTGAGTGTGTAGGTGAGTCGGTGAGTGAGTCGGTGAGTTTGCTCACCTGCAGTGGACGGTGATTGGCCCCTCCTGCCCGAACTGCTCCTTGGTTTTGTGAACTTGGCCAATGAAGTCGATGAACCCCTCCCCCGAGCGGGGGACCCCCTGCTCCGGCCAATCGGTGAACTGGAATTGACGCACCGTGCGGGACTGCCCATCCTGGGGGGGGAGGAGTCATGTGGGGAGGGGAGGAGTCATTGAGGGGCAGGGGTCATGTAGGAGGGGGAGGAGTCATGTAGAAGGGGGAGGGGGCTACGGAGGAAGGGGAGGAGTCGTGGGGGAGCTGCCACGGAGGGCAAGGGGAGGAGTCATGGAAAGGGGCGGGGCCATGGAGGAGAAGGGCGCGGAGTCGTGGGGGAGGTGCTACGGAGGGAGGGGAGGAGTCATGGAGGGGGGAGGAGTCATGGGGGACGGGACACGGAGGGGAGGCATCATGTAGGGGGAGGAGTCATTGGGGAGGGGGAGGTGCCACAGAGGGAAGGGGAGGAGTCATGGAGGGGGGAGGAGTCATCGGGGAGGTGCCACGGAGGGAGGGGAGGAGTCATGTAGGGGGAGGAGTCATCGGGGAGGGGCCACGGAGGGAAGGGGAGGAGTCACGTAGGGGGAGGAGTCATCGGGGAGGGGCCACGGAGGGAAGGGGCGGAGTCACGTAGGGGGAGGAGTCATCGGGGAGGGGCCACGGAGGGAAGGGGCGGAGTCACGTAGGGGGAGGAGTCATCGGGGAGGGGCCACGGAGGGAAGGGGAGGAGTCACGGAGGGGGGAGGAGTAATAGGGGAGGTGCCACGGAGGGAAGGGGCGGAGTCACGTAGGGGGAGGAGTCATTGGGCAGGGGCGGAGCGAGCGACTGACCCTTGCGTCTGTGACCTTGAACTCCCTCAGGACGTACTGGGGCATGTTGTACTCAGCCATGGGGTCCACCACGAAGTACTGATAGCGTGCAGATCGCTCTACAGGCCAGTACTGGTGAGACTTCTCCTGCACACAGGGGAAGTGGGTGGGTGGTGAGTGGGTGGGTGAGTGGGTGGGCGGGTGAGTGAGTGGGTGAGTGGGTGGGTGAGTGGGTGGGTGGGTGAGTGAGTGGGTGGTTGGGTGGGTGGGTGAGTGGGTGGGTGGGTGGGTGGGTGAGTGAGTGAGTGGGTGGGTGAGTGAGTGGGTGAGTAAGTAAGTGAGAGGGTGAGTGGATGGGTGAGTGACTGAGTGACTGAGTGAGTGAGTGGGTGGGTGAGTGAGTGAGTGGTGAGTGAGTGAGTGGGTGAGTGAGTGAGTGAGTGGTGAGTGAGTGGTGAGTGACTGAGTGAGTGAGTGGTGAGTGAGTGAGTGAGTGGTGAGTGAGTGGTGAGTGAGTGGTGAGTGGTGAGTGAGTGGTGAGTGAGTGGGTGAGTGAGTGGTGAGTGAGTGAGTGGTGAGTGAGTGAGTGAGTGGTGAGTGGTGGTGGTGAGTGATGAGTGAGTGAGTTGGTGAGTGAGTGGTGAGTGAGTGGTGAGCGAGTGGTGAGTGAGTGGTGACTGAGTGAGTGAGTGGTGAGTGAGTGGTGAGCGTGAGTGAGTGGTGAGTGAGTGAGTGAGTGGGTGGGTGAGTGAGTGAGTGGTGAGTGAGTTGGTGAGTGGTGAGTGAGTGGTGAGTGAGTGGTGAGTGGTGAGTGAGTGGTGAGTGGTGAGTGAGTGGTGACTGAGTGACTGAGTGAGTGACTGAGTGAGTGGTGAGTGAGTGAGTGGTGAGTGATGAGTGAGTGAGTTGGTGAGTGAGTGGTGAGTGAGTGGTGAGTGGGTGAGTGAGTGAGTGGTGAGTGAGTGGTGAGTGAGTGGTGAGTGAGTGGTGAGTGAGTGGTGAGTGAGTGGTGAGCGTACCCTTCCCATCTCCCTGAGCTTGGTGAGCATCACGATGATTGTAGAGTTTTGCTCCCAGAGCATCCGCCAAAGATCCTCCGTGGTCTCAGCCAGCGGGCCCTGGGTAGCGATGTAGGCACCCTGTTGTCTACACACAGTCACACACAGTCACACACACACAGTCACACACACACACAGTCACACACACACAGTCACACACACACACAGTCACACACACAGTCACACACAGTCACACAGTCACACACAGTCACACACACAGTCACACACAGTCACACACAGTCACACACACAGTCACACACACAGTCACACACACACACAGTAACACACACAGTCACACACACAGTCACACACACACAGTCACAGTCACACACACAGTCACAGTCTCACACACACAGTCACACACACAGTCACACACACACACACACAGTCACACATACACACACAGACACACACACACACACACACTAACACACACACAGTAACACACACACTAACACACACACAATCACACACACAGTCACACACACACAGTAACACAGTCACACACACACACAGTCACACACACACAGTCACACACACAGTAACACACACACACAGTAACACACACACAGTCACACACACAGTCACACACACACAGTAACACACACACACAGTAACACACACAGTCACACAGTCACACACACACAGTCACACACACAGTCACACACACACACAGTCACACACACACACAGTCACACACACACACAGTCACACACACACACAGTCACACACACACACAGTCACACACACAGTAACACACACACACAGTAACACACACAGTCACACAGTCACACACACACAGTCACACACACAGTAACACACACAGTCACACACACACACAGTCACACACACAGTCACACACACAGTCACACACACACAGTAACACACACAGTCACACACACACAGTAACACACACAGTCACACACACAGTCACACACACACACACAGTAACACACACACACACACAGTCACACACACACAGTCACACACACAGTCACACACACACACAGTCACACACAAAGACAAAGATCCCCCGTATAGCCTTGACAGACTGTTGGGGCAAGTGCTGTTAGCGAGCACCTATGAAGGCCGGAACGGTACACGAGGGGGTGGGTGGCCAGCACCACGCCCGACCGCCTTTGTCTCCCCAGTGGCGATGTTTACACACCACACCAGGTACTCATTCGAGGCTGAGTCGACCTAGGGGAGGCCCGGGACCGGTTCAGATAATCGTCACCGGTGTTGGCCGTGAGCGGGAATCGAACCTGGGTCGCCAGGTTCATAGCGCAGCGTAGCGCTAACCGCTACACTACACACACAGTCACACACACAGTCACACACACAGTCACACACACACACAGTCACACACACACACAGTCACACACACAGTCACACACAGTCACACACACAGTCACACACACACACAGTCACACACACACACAGTCACACACACACAGTCACACACACAGTCACACACACAGTCACACACACAGTCACACACACAGTCACACACACACAGACACACACACACACAGTCACACACACAGTCACACACAGTCACACACAGTAACACACAGTCACACACACAGTAACACACACAGTCACACACACAGTAACACACACACACAGTAACACACACACAGACACAGTCACACACAGTCACACACACAGTAACACACACACACACAGTCACACACACACAGTCACACACACAGTCACACACACACAGTCACACACACAGTCACACACACAGTCACACAGTCACACACACAGTCACACACACAGTCACACACACAGTCACACACACACACAGTGACACACAGTCACACACACACACACTAACCTGTAGCCGTCTATAGCACTGGCGTTGATGTAGTCTGAGCCAGTCACACAGTCACACACACACACAGTGACACACACACACAGTGACACACTAACACACAGTCACACACACAGTCACACACACACACTAACACACAGTCACACACACAGTGACACACAGTCACCTGTAGCCGTCTATAGCACTGGCGTTGATGTAGTCTGAGCCAGTCACACACACAGTCACACACAGTCACACAGTAACACACACACACAGTGACACACACACACACAGTCACACACACAGTCACACACACACAGTCACACACACAGTAACCTGTAGCCGTCTATAGCACTGGCGTTGATGTAGTCTGAGCCAGTCACACACACACACAGTTACACACACAGTTACACACACAGTGACACACACACACACTAACACACACACTAACACACAGTGACACACAGTCACCTGTAGCCGTCTATAGCACTGGCGTTGATGTAGTCTGAGCCAGTCACACACAGTAACACACACAGTCACACTAACACACACAGTAACACACACAGTAACACACACTAACACACAGTCACACACACACAGTAACACAGTCACAGTAACCTGTAGCCATCGATAGCACTGGCGTTGATGTAGTCTGAGCCAGTCACACAGTCACACACACACAGTCACACACACACACACACAGTCACACACACACAGTCACCTGTAGCCGTCTATAGCACTGGCGTTGATGTAGTCTGAGCCAGTCACACAGTCACACAGTCACACACACTAACACACAGTCACACACACACAGTCACACACACACAGTGACACACAGTCACACACAGTAACACACACACAGTCACACACACACACAGTAACACACACACACACAGTAACACACACACACACACAGTAACACACTAACCTGTAGCCGTCTATAGCACTGGCGTTGATGTAGTCTGAGCCAGTCACACAGTCACACACACAGTCACACAGTAACACACTAACACACACACACAGTCACACAGTAACACACAGTCACACACAGTCACCTGTAGCCGTCTATAGCACTGGCGTTGATGTAGTCTGAGCCAGTCACACACACAGTCACACACACACAGTCACACACACACAGTCACACACTAACACACAGTAACACACACACACACACAGTCACATACACACACACAGTCACACACACACAGTAACACACACACAGTAACACACACAGTAACACACACAGTAACACACACACACAGTCACACACACAGTCACACACACACACACAGTAACACACACAGTCACACACAGTCACACACACACACAGACACACACAGTCACACACACAGTCACACACAGTCACCTGTAGCCGTCTATAGCACTGGCGTTGATGTAGTCTGAGCTAGTCACACACACACAGTAACACACACAGTAACACACACAGTAACACACACACACACAGTCACACACACAGTCACACACACTAACACACAGTCACACACACAGTCACACACACAGTAACACACACAGACACACACACACAGTCACACACACACAGTAACACACACAGTGGCACACACACAGTCACACACACACAGTAACACACACAGTAACACAGTCACACACACACAGTAACACACACAGTAACACAGTAACCTGTAGCCATCGATGGCACTGGCGTTGATGTAGTCTGAGCCAGTCACACAGTCACACACACACAGTCACACACACACACAGTCACACACAGTCACACACACAGTCACACACACACAGTCACACACACAGTCACACACACACACAGTCACACACAGTCACACACACAGTCACACACACACAGTAACCTGTAGCCGTCTATAGCACTGGCGTTGATGTAGTCTGAGCCAGTCACACACACACACAGTAACACACACAGTAACACACACACACACACAGTAACACACACACAGTAACACACACAGTCACACACACAGTCACACAGTCACACACACAGTCACACAGTAACACACACACACACACAGTCACACACACAGTCACACAGTAACACACACTAACACACACTAACACACAGTCACACACACAGTAACACACACACACACACTAACACACAGTAACACACACAGTAACACACACACAGTAACACACACAGTAACACAGACTAACCTGTAGCCATCTATAGCACTGGCGTTGATGTAGTCTGAGCCAGTCACACACAGTAACACACACAGTAACACACACAGTAACACAGTCACACACACACAGTCACACACACAGTAACACACAGTCACAGTAACCTGTAGCCGTCTATAGCACTGGCGTTGATGTAGTCTGAGCCAGTCACACACACACAGTAACACACACACAGTCACACACACACACACAGTCACACACACACTAACACACAGTCACACACAGTCACACAGTCACACACAGTAACACACACACACACAGTCACACACAGTAACCTGTAGCCGTCTATAGCACTGGCGTTGATGTAGTCTGAGCCAGTCACACACAGTCACACACACACAGTAACACACAGTCACACAGTCACACACACAGTCACACAATAACACACACAGTCACACACAGTCACACACAGTAACACACACAGTAACACACACACAGTGACCTGTAGCCATCTATGGCACTGGCGTTGATGTAGTCTGAGCCAGTCACACACACACAGTCACACACACACACAGTCACACACACACAGTAACACACACAGTAACACACAGTAACACAGTAACCTGTAGCCATCTATGGCACTGGCGTTGATGTAGTCTGAGCCAGTCACACACACACAGTCACACACACACAGTCACACACACACAGTCACACACACACACACAGTCACACACACACAGTCACACTAACACACAGTAACACACACACACACAGTCACACACACACAGTCACACTAACACACACACACAGTAACACACACACACTAACACACACACACAGTAACACACACACAGTAACACACACACTAACCTGTAGCCGTCTATAGCACTGGCGTTGATGTAGTCTGAGCCAGTCACACACACACAGTCACACACACACAGATAGTGACACAGTGACACACACACACACACAGACACACACACACACAGACACATACACACACACACAGTAACACACACACAGTCACACAGTCACCTGTAGCCATCTATAGCACTGGCGTTGATGTAGTCTGAGCCAGTCACACACACACAGTAACACACACAGTAACACACACACAGTCACACACACACACAGTAACACACACAGTCACACACACACACAGTCACAGTAACCTGTAGCCGTCTATAGCACTGGCGTTGATGTAGTCTGAGCCAGTCACACAGTCACACACACACAGTCACACACACAGTCACACACACTAACACACACAGTCACACACACACACACACAGTCACACACACAGTCACACAGTAACACACACTAACACACACTAACACACAGTCACACACACACAGTCACACACAGTCACACACAGTCACCTGTAGCCGTCTATAGCACTGGCGTTGATGTAGTCTGAGCCAGTCACACACAGTAACACACACACACTAACACACACACACACACAGTAACACAGTAACACACACAGTCACACACACAGTCACACACAGTCACCTGTAGCCGTCGATAGCACTGGCGTTGATGTAGTCTGAGCCCTGCACGCCCCGGATTGGCTGCAGGGCCACGCGGCTGTTCTCAAAGGGGGCGACGTTCACCAGCCGGTTCTTGAACTTGTTGCAGGGCAAAGCGGCCGAAACAAACCTCGACGCAGGAGCACGTGCACTGGCCAGTCGCTGGGGGTGAGCGGGGTCAGGGTGAGGGTGGTGAGGGGGGTGAGGGGGGTGAGGGGGGTGAGGGGGGTGAGGGGGGTGAGGGAGTGATTTGATGTAG